AACATTAATTTTTCATAATATCCTGAGCAACGAGAGAAAACTTTTCTTTCTTTCTTTCTTTTTCTTTCTTTCCTTTCTTTCTTTCTTTCCTTTCTTCCTATCTCCCTCCCTCCCCTTTCTTCCTTCCTTCCCTCCCTCCTTTCTTGATTCTTTCCACAGTAACTTTATCATTTGTTTCCAAGCAAAAGCTATCACCTCCACATTGAAAGAGCCCAGAAATGTGTTTTTATAGCAAATATTTAGCTAAATATTCATCTAATCTAGAGAGGACAAAGTGTTTCATAAACACACAAGATTTGAAATTTGTGCTTGTTCCAAAATAGTCTAAATTCCAAGTTTTTAAACTGACAGCAGATGTTGAATTAAGATTGTTTGGATAGGAAAAACAGCCTACATGAAATGAATAACGTGGTGATAATTAGAAAACTGAGTAATGAATAGAGGAAAACAAAATCACTCAGGTATATAAGTTCATTGGTTTCCCATGAGCAAACCAAATATCAAAATAACCTACCTTAAGAAACCTGTTAGTATAATAAAGGAAAGAGGATTTTATGATGTACTACATTTGGAATTTCTTGGGGAAATGCAAAACAGAAGTCAATACACAGAAGTATACAAAGATTGTGATGTTGTTTGCTCTTAAAAAGGTAATCTGTAACAAAACTATGTCAAATGCTCTGACTTTAAGCCTAGCCACATAAGGTAGTTGCTAATTGTTTCCACCACCATTATATGATCTTTGAAGTACTTTCCAGCTGAGCATTCATGAGCCCCTTGTTTTCCTCTAACACCTAATTGTTAACATTCACAGATTGCTGGTCAATGTCTTCTAAAATAAACAAATTAAAAATATTAACACACATGAAAGGTGTCATGGAAATAAATCACAGATACTATTTCCCCTACATGTGCCTGCTCATGCTCTTTCTACCCGGTATTGTACAAATTTGGAAGATTTAAGAATAATTTCTATGTACATATATCAATGTGATATTTTAGATTGTTCTGAAATACACTTCTTTTTCTAACTTAACCAAATCTCCAATGAAATAGATAAGATACTCTATTTTTTCCTTGGTTGGATAATTTGAAACACTAGAAATGTAAATTTACATGTGGCATTTCAGCAAAAGAAGTATTTTGGACCCCCCCCCCAAACCCCATCAACATACAGATATCATTTTGGAGTTTGCTGGTTTTGGTGTTCAGTGCTTCAGAAAGTTGTACTGTAGATCACAGTATGGGAATTTTATATGTGAAATTATTGTTCATTTCACTTATAGTTATCAATTAGTCTGAAGTTTCTTCAGGTAATTTTGCATGTCACCAATCTGGCCAATGAAATAGTTTTGTAGCTCCAGATCGAGGTGAACATAAGTAGCTGCAACTTATGCTACTTTATTCATGCATTATGAATTTGAATATAGGAGGCATCAAGAGGAAAACTTTTTTATACAACCTTGGGGAAAAAAAACTGAGCTGTGTACTTTGTGATTTTGCCCTTGAAAATGGAAATCTATATCTTCTGATTTTCAGTTCTCCCTACTCACCTATGGACATTATTGAGGAAGTGTTTTTGGAGACAATATCAATAGGCCAATCAATTAATTTTGTATTTGTACATTGTGCTATTTTGCATTTGTACATTTGTACCTTGTGCTATTGTGAAACACATTTCTTTAGCTGAATTTTTAAATCTATTTGATGAGGAGCATTTATGTCTAGGAACATTGTCAGTGAGCAAATCTGTGAAAGTTTTGTACATCTCATTAAGTATTACATTGATGCTGTGGACTGTGCAAACAATTAAACTTTCAGGTATATTTCTTTAAGCCATATGATTAAGCATCTACAGGCAAAAACTAGGGAACAAGAAAGAGCAGTGTCTAATCGATGTTTGAGTTTTAAAGGAGTAAGCATGCAAAGTGGGCCTTGTGAGAAGCTGGATTCCACCAAGAAATCTCACAGAGCTTCTTCTGTTGAGAAGAAACAAGGAAATAATTGTTGGCTTTCAAATGCTGTTAAAATAAACTTTTCTGTGAGATTATGAGGGAGAATGGAAGAGATCAACTGAGCACTTTATCTTAATAGAGCTAGGAGATAATTTAATTTAGCATGTTGTACAAGACAAAATAAATAAGGCAATAGATGATAAACCAGGTAGAACACAGGTGTCAAACTCAATCGTGTCACATGACATATTGTGTAATTTTTTTTGCCTTTGTGGAGTCAGGGTGTGGCCTGCGCATGATGCATCCGGACCATGGGCTACCAGTTTGACACCCCTGAAGTAGAATTACCAGTTTAGAGGTGTAGCAGTTCCTTTTCCTTTATAGAAACTTTGTGCTAAACGGTGAACGTGGTACTTAGGCAACATCTTATTTTGTTCCTATGGAACTTTCTTTTGCAGTGTCCCTTTTCTGACAATTTTTTTCTGGTGATTCACAGACATATGGACATCAGTTTGAGAACCATGGTCTGTTCTTTGAGAGATATTTTTATACTTTTGTGATATAGTGGCCCAATTCACATTTTGCCCCAATTAGGGTTTAAGCACAATTTGATTAAATCACAATTTGTTGGGTTGACACATCATACTAATCAGCAAACCATGGCTGGGTTATGCACAATTGACACATTAAGCCAAGACCAACAGACTAAATTATGTCTTAGTGTTCTTTGTGAATCCATGCAGTGAACACTTGTTTTGATGTTCGGCTGGGAAGCCCTGTATCTGCATAATTATTGCAGTAAACACTATCTTAGTAGGCTGCCTAAGGAATTCTGGGAGCTGAAGTCCATAAATCTTAAAGTTGCTAAGGTTAAGAAAGACTGATTTAGTGAAGCAATGGATGGAAACTAATGAAGGAGAGAAGCAACCTAGAACTAAGGAGAAACTTCCTGACAGTTAGAACAATTAACCAGTGGAACAACCTGCCTCCAGAAGTGGTGAATGCCCCAACACTGGAAGTTTTTAAGAAGAGACTGGAGAGACATTTGTCTGAAATGGTATAGGGTTTCCTGCCTGAGCAGGGGGTTGGACTAGATGACCTCCAAGGTCTCTTCCAACTTTATTATTATTATTATTATTATTATTAACAACTTCCCTAGGGCACTGCTGCTCTCCACCAGGGCAAATTCTAAACACTTAAAATAGGAGGACTGCAATTTTATCTCTTTTCGGCTAAGACTTCCACTGTAAGTTTCTTCTGCTTTTAAAAAAAGAGAACCTATCACTATTATTATTCAAACCTAATTTTATTTATTTTAAAAAATTCTGCAGGGTATGTTAATTTATATCTTTTTTACAAGTAAATAAGAGGCAGGAAACCAAATATAAAGTAGAACAGTCTGGTTTTATTATTTTGTCATCAAGAGTCATTTTTCTCCCTTCCCTTACCATTTTATTTCTTTTGTAAAACACTTCAACTCTTTCCCCCCCTTCTTCTTTTTCTTCATTTTGTTTACAACATACATTAAACTGTGAATCTGATGATGTTAGGAGTTTGTGGAGATGTAGGGAAGTTGGTGACAACACAGTATTTTTTTTTACAACTTTACAACAAAAGAGAGTGTCTGACGTGGCTGCATCTACCGGAGTATACCAAAGGTGGAAAGAAAAGGCACACATAGGTCTAAGAACCTTTACACACAAAGGGGTAAAAATGGGGCAAGGGGGAGGAGGAAAGACGAAAGAGTCTAAGCAGAAAACAAAACAGTAAAAAAAAAAAAAAGGCCATCTCAAGGTGAACCCCGTCATTGGTGTGATGTATATTACAAAGGCAGATCCCTGAACAAAACTGCAATAATTATTCATTTCTCCATTAGGACACACGGCTTGGCTAAGAAGTAGCAGGGGATACCATGCCCTTCAGAGTTTAGGGACTGAGCTTCAAGGAGGAAAAACAAAAGTTTGCTTAACTTTTCATATGGCTCCCTCATAGTTTAAAAAGAGGCTGGGGGTGGTGGTTAAGGGGAAAACAAAAGAAAATCCCAGAAAGAAGCTTGCTTTGACTTTACACTATCCAGCCCACCAAGAGCATACAAAGAGGCAAAGACGAAAGGAGGCAGGTCCCTTTGGTTCCAATCGTCCTGATTTTCCTAAATATGCTGCTCCCAGCCTGAAGATTTTTCCCCTCCAGGGAAACCATTTGTGAATGCTCTCCTCTTAGAGGCAACGAAACCAGCCCCATTGGAGTGTCTTCTCTTCTAAAGCCTCGTTACTCCTTCCCAAACATTCTGTCCAGACAATATCAAACATGCACATCAATTTCTCTCTCTTTCTTTTTGCCACAGTAGGCTGACATAGCTGTAATGACAATTTAAATTAGAACAGCTAAGCACAAGCAACGGAGACTTTGTCAAACTACAGATTCCTGCACATGCTCTGCCTGTTTTCCCCACCCACCCATACAAATGAAAGCTGGATTTCTTTTTTACAAGAAACAGTAGGTTGTAACAATTAACTGGGTTTGCTTTCCCACTGAGAACCAGCAGGAGCCAGCCTGCTTTATGTTTTTTTCCATTTTATTCTATAGGCTATACAGTCTTAGGCCTGGATTGTTTTGGGCCAGAATGTCAACAGTACACAGTGCTTGACTTTGGTGATACATCACATTACTGGCAATGAGAAAGGATGGTTTCCATACAGAAGTGATACCAAAATATCCAGGTAGATGGATATGCTATCACCAAACAGTATCTAAACTGCCAGGATAGCACAAAAGTAGTATGAAGGCCAAAAGGAGCATGATTGGGATTTACATCAAAGCAACAGATATTGTCACCAAGCCTTGTCTTCTTGCGGATCAGAGGGCTGTTAATTCTGCAAACCAAAATGTGAAACTGTCGATCCTCCAGTTCTTTAGGGCAGGGCTCTCTATACTCGGCAACTTTAAGACTTATGGATTTTAATTCCCAGCATGGGAGTTGAAGTCCAAGACTTAAAGTTGCCAAATTTGGTAGATCCTTATCCTAGGGGAATAAGAAAGGGTAGAGATAAATAAATATCTGATTTATTTGAAGGAGAAGGGAAACGATTGTACATACTATAGTTCACAAATATACACAACTGAAGGTGTAAGGCACAAATTTACATGTGGGGAAAAAACAGATGTATTCTCATCAAAACAAACTCAGTGTGATAGAACTGAAAACTATGCCTGGGGGGAAACCAGTGTGCGGATGAAAAATGCACTGTGCATTTTTGTTTGTCGGTTTGCCATCTCCCATGCAAGGATGAAATGAGATGGCAGAGATCGAGTGGGTGCCTTCACAGAAAGGATCAACTACTGACAAAAATTGTGTTCATGACAGCGAGGCCTGGAAGTGGAGCGTTCAAAGAGTTTATTTTGTAAGACATTAGTATTTTAGGAAGAAAAAAACTTTAGGGAAAAATGGCACAGTGGGAGGTTTCTTCCTTGGTCTGCAACCTGACCTTAAAAGTTGGAAGCCAGCCTGCAGAATGGACTGACACTGAAGTAAGCATTTCCCTCTAGTTAGCTTTCCATACAAGACCAAGGAGTTCAAACAGAAAAGTTCAGAATTCCATCACCGACTTATTTAACTCAGTGAATTTATTGGAAAAAATAAAAGGAGTTTTAATTACTCTAGTTAATGGGGTTTCTCGTTAAATAGGCATAATTTTCAATGTATTTTGTTTTTCCTTCTGGAAAGAGTTGCTCATATGATGGTAGGCATAAGTGATTTCCTTAGGATTTAAAAAAAGACAAAAAAGATGAACAATAAATAATCATAATTACTTGCGTTAACAGTCACATGTTATTCATTAAGAGAGAAGAGTAGCAATAACCTATGACAGAGTTGTTCTTGCCCAACATGGCAAATCTGCTATAATCAAAAGGCTGTAACACTGATGGGCTTTCACAGTACCTGCATACAGTAAGAGTCTGTCATGGTTCAGTAAGAGTTAGCTTAAACAATGGGTTCCTTTTGTCTTTTTGTGAGTTATTCCTTTCTCAGGTCATTTTTTGCTTTCAAAGCACTCATTTCCCAGTTCTAGGATGTTCTGTGCAGTTAAAAGTGAAGGATCACAGTCATCTTTCGTGTGTGTGTGCTTTTGGCTCAATGTTTGCAATTAGTCTTTTGAATGAAGAGCTGTTGTATTGTGGGGGTGGGTCCTACAGTTGCAAACCATAGACTGTATGGCCCAATTCCTTAAAAATATTCCACTTTTTCCCAGAGCAGAATGTTCTTCAGCTTTGCAGTTTCTTGGTCAGTTGAAACTAGCATTGCCATTGCTGAATCCTGGTTTTTAAGGATATTCCATGATACACAGCTGTCCCCCCCCACCCCACGGTGATTATGTACATGCATCATTAGGCTTCATGGATGCTGAAAGAGGGGAAAAGGAGGGCTTGGGGGGTACATCTGGTTTTAACGATGGTGTGCGTTTCAACCCTGATCTTGTCAGCGAGTTGTATGTGGTGAGACTGGGCTGCCTAGAAACAGTCACAGTCTGACCCTGAGTAGCATGGACTTGTATGGAGTCCACTCTTTGTGGGGCAGGAGGAGGGTTGTCTCCCCTGCCAAAACTCTGATTTCTTGAAAGATGGGAGGAATTAGAAGAATTAGTGTTATTTCTTTTGAGTGTTGATGTTTGGTGATTTCTCGTAAGCGAGTTCGTGGGGTAGTTTCTCTTGTAGTCCACGTTATAAGCAGAGGAATGCATCTCCAGTCGCTTTCCCAGACTGCTCTGAGCAAGAGAGGACCCAGGGGGACCAAGAGAAGCTTCCCTCTGGGGGACTTTTGGTGGCATACTATCCAAGTTTTCCACAAGATTCACCCCGTGGTTTGGGCTTTTGCCACTGAGATGCTCTTTTATGGTTTTGTACTCGAGAGTAGCATTTTGGTCCTCCATGGCCATCTGTGCCACATCGCTCATTTTAGGCTGATCAACATATTCATGCTGATAGCTTTGCTGAGAAATAGGCAGGACTACAATGCTTGGGATGTGACTGGGGGAAGCCCTGAGAGGAAGGTCTGTAGGAATCACCGGTGATGCCATAGGGGGAATATCTTTTGTGCAGGCGTTGATGAGATTCTGGTTTCTCTCCCAGTCTCTGCTGCCACGGCTTGGCTTCCTCTTCTGCTGAAGTGTTGGGGTGGACTCTGGAGTAGGTAGAGCAGCCAAGTCCAGATGATGTTGGTCAGCTTTGATGAGCATCTTGGCTGTGCTTCCCGGAGTAGCAAGCTTACCGTTGTGCATGAGAGGGGTGAGAATGGCTTCAGGCTTTGGCTCTTTGGACTGAGTGTCTCCAAAGAGACCACTGAGCTTGGTGACACTGTTCATTGAGCCTCGACGAGATTGGACCAGCTCCTTCTCCTTCCTCTGCACAATGGTCACATCTCGACGCCGATGGTCACAGATGCAGTACACTATGATCCCCGAGAAGACAGCTCCCATGACAAAGGCAAGAATGACTGCTATAGCCAGGAGGGTGACAGGCACCAACTGATCATGCCCTTTGAGATAACTCTCACGGATCACTCCTGCAACAGATATCACAAAATGGTAAGCAGAAAAGTACATGCTCAAATAGAATGATTCACTTTAACAACACTACAACAATACACTAGATGCCGCTCTGGTGCTCTGGCAGAATAACTGGTTTGGATTATATCATATTTGGTAGAAAATTCCTCAAACGGTACTTTAATGTCTGTAGTTACTCTGGATTTTTGCCAGTATGTTGTTCCTCTACTTTCCATTAATTGGCCAGGAGCCAACCATGGGCTCTTCTGGATAGGATGGAAATTCATGTATCCAAAATGTTTTAGGAGATCTGCACTGAACAGAGTTATGACTAGATGATCTGTGAGGTCGATTTCATCTCTGTGATACTAGAACTATATTGTGATCAACATTTGCTTAACAATGTCATCATATTTTGCATTATTTGAATATATGTAGTAAAAATCTACACTGCTATAATTACAGGTAAAAAAAATTGCAGCAGAACAACAATGAAGCTGATTATCTTGGATGACAAGGTTTTACAGAAAGCCCAGATTTTTTGTACATAATTAATTAGAATAATATTTTAATGAATCTGGTGTTTCATTACTCACTATGAAATTGAACTGTTGTTCTTTTATACAAGTGTCATGAAAGATGCATGGTAATGTAAATTTTATGATTTTAGAAGCTGAAATGTTTTTTTAAATAAGACCAATTTTAATATTAGTTCTCTGTGGAAATTAGTATGCTGCAATAAGAAATTTAATATTTCATATAAGGACTAATTAGCTAAGAATAAACCTGAAGAATAAACTTCTCTAACTTTCTCACATTCAGGTATCTCCAACAGAGTTAAAAACAAAACCAAGAAATACACATAATTTAAAACACAACAGTAAAATCAATACATTTAAAATCTAATTCAGAATCAGTATCAATGCAATAATTAAGTCAAAAGTTTAGTGATAGAAATATGTTTTTGAATGTCTCTCTCTTGGGGAGAGCTCTTCTAAGTCCATGAGTCACACCTACCAGACAGCCTTGTTAGAGGCAAACCACCTCTTATGGGGAAATAACAGACACTCCTGGGAATTGTTATGAATGGGTCTAATCATTTAAATTCATCACCTCATATACCGCAATAAATCCCATCATATTAAGCATGCATGTGATGAAAAAAGATCTTTGTCTTGTTTCTCCTTGGTGGAGAAAAATATGCTTCCAATGCACATATTTTGATAATAATAATAGTAAAAAAAACTAATGTTATTGTATTGAAGGATCCAAAGAGGCTGTTCTGGAATATTGTTTTAGATTTTTAATACAATGGGATTCTCTTTAGCGTATTACTTTTACATCTATAAAACATGGTGAACTCATTATTAATGGACTGTTTATTCATTTTACCAAGTAGGGCCACTGCAAGTGAAGCTGAAAGAAAATGGAGTGCAGGATTCCATAAGCTCCATTCTGCTCCCTGTCCCTTCTCATTTTTTTAATGTTCCCAACTGCACTGGTTGCATTCAAGTAGATATTAGACCAACATATGTCTGCAATGTCTTAATTTGGATTTTTGGATTGGACAAAGAGTTTGAATTGATGGCCGAATTGGACTATGCAAATTCTACAGCTTTAAGTTTAATCCACTCCTCAGATTAATCTCATAGGTTAAAAACAGCTGTACCCCAGAATCACTTTCTAAATATGACCCAATAAGAAAGGCTGGATCCAATGAAAAAAAAAACAATGCTCCAAGATCCAATTCAACAAGGCAATTCTGAAGGGTTCATAGCTGATGAAAAGTCACCAAGTAATCTCAGATTAATGATCCTAAGGAAACAGCTGGCATCATGTACAAATCAACCGTATGCTCTAACTGAATATAGGAATATAGTATGATTTTGTTCATTTTGTAAAATATCATTAGCTTCACTATGTTCAAAAATATTAAATATGCCATGGTGCTTGACATTTCTCACTAGTGAAGTTATTAAAGTAGTTGAAACAAAAAGAGCTTTACAACGTCTACGGACTTGACAAAATGGATCTTTAAAAAAGCAGACAGCAATGAGAGGCAAGGACTGTTCAAACTCATTACAGACTTGTTTCTGAAATCACAAATAGAAATGGCAACATACCAATAAAACCCTTGATGTGTAGATTTTCTAAAAACAGATTTTAGAGAAGGGTAGATGATAGTAGAAAAGCCAAATAGAAGACTAGTTTAGGGTCAGGCATTGGTGAATGGAAACAAACAAGCTTGTCTTTGTCAAATTATAGGACAGATGACTAATACAAATGGGGTCATTCTTGTAGTGCCATTTTTGCAGTGTAACCCTCCAAATGAATCCAACTTCCCAGCCAAGGCAACCAAAACATATCTGGGTAAAGGCATTGGATTAGAAAAAGTTGCCATTTGCATCTTGATGGTGAAACTCTACTTATCTCTACAAAAGGCAAATCTGGGCTAGAGTTTTGCCAAGGAGTTTTCCTGTCTTTTTTCTTTTGGCTGTCACTGTTGAGTCTTGGTGACTATATGGACTAGTCCCTGCAGTTTTGTTGACAAAATTTTGGAAGTGGTTTTTTCTTGCCAGCATCCTAGGACTAAGATGGAGTGACTGGCTCAAGGTTATGCAGCTGGCTTTGTTCCTAAGATGGGACTAAAACTCATAGCCTCCTGGTTTCTAGCCTGATGCCTTAAGCACTACAATAAATAATGTTAAGGCTTAGTGGGAGAAAAATAGAGTTACCTTTACAAAATGGGCACACCAGCAGCATAAATAACTATTTGTTACTATCAGTGATGTTTGATTCGCTTTGCTTCAGTCTACTCAAAATATTTTTATTACCTTATATTATATACCGTATATGCCGGCATACAAGGCGACCCGGCGTATAAGACGACCCCCGTCTTTGTCGCCAAGCCGCATTCCTAGAACGTCGTCTTATACGCCGGAAACTACCAGTATTTCCGGCGTATAAGATGACTCGGCATATAAGACGACCCCCGTCTTTGGCGCCGATATTAGCGCTTGCGGAAGTCGCCTTATACGCCGGCATATACGGTATGTTACATACATGTCAACAAAATAGTACCAGATGTGCCTATTATTTTTGTGATCACATATTTACTAAGGGTAACCTTTTGTCTTCCCATTTGCAGTACTCCAACAACAACCCCACTGACTGGATAAAGTGGCCATAGTGTGGCTTCCACAGCAGGGATCTGTCATCTTCTCCTTGTTGTTGAATTTAATCTGGAGAAGACGACAAGACAGCCACCTTTCTTCCAGTCTTTGCAAATGCTGGCTTCCTTAGAAATGGGAGCAAAATTCGGTAAGTGAAATACAATGGGATTTTTGGAAGGGATGGGGAGGAAGCCACTAATTAAGTGTATAGCATTTCAGTGATTGTAAGTTCTGACCAGAAACTGTACATGAAAAGTACATGTCTAAATAACATGGCAGTTATTTTTAGCTTCCCAACTTGGAATGATGCCTGCTGTAGTTGGTTAGGAAGTGTCTCTTATCCACTTTCCTTACAACTCCAGACATGGCAGGGAATCTCTCAGGGTGTCGGTCAATTCGGCAGCTGAGTCACTCTATACTAATTGCATCGCTCCTTTTGTTTATAATGAAAAAAATAAAATTCATTCATAAAGTGACAGGTTTTATTGTGTTTGAAACATATCCCTGTAGGCACCGTAATTTCATTTCTGAAATAGAGTCAATAAAGGTCTTAGCATTCCATTGATAACAGGACTGGGCTCCGATCACATTGTTTGCCTGAAATTACTTTTTGTCAGGGAAATGCCATATTAATAGGGAATTTTTCACACTTCCCTTCCTTCCCCATCCAGGATTTTCTATACTGTAAATTTAATACAGATTTAAGTCTTATTATAGACAAACAGGAAATGAAATTGAGTATTTTAGTTAAATTGAAAAGAATGTAAAGCTTTTTAAACATTGTAAAACCCTTCTGATATGGCTGAGATGAAATAAAACATGGTCAGTGTTTATTTTGGGAGATCTGAAGGCATCTGTTTATTTTGGGAGAGCTCTTGGCAGCTGACATTTATTAGATTTAGATTGGAATATGCGATTATGGCTCATTGCAGATTACTAGATAATTTTAGTTCATCCCAGTTTCATTAGTTCTTTTCTGAGTATAGTATTCCTCTAAGGATATAAAAATAAGACAGTGCTCTTGTAACTTTCCTGTCTAAGTCCTAGTGCTTTCAGACACGGCTAAGAATCTGGATGACCGCTAGATGAAAACAGATTTTTTTTTTGCAAATCTCTTTGTCATTTAGTGATCAACTTGCCATTCAGTTCTGGTAGCTTTAGCAAACGTACAAAAAATAGTTTCTGGATGCTGGATTTCTGCGTACAGTTCTAGGAAAAATTATTTACCCTCTTTCACATTGTCTGAGTTTTTTTGTATATCTTTGCTATTAAATGCCATCAGAACTTCCTATGGGCCCTATAAAGGAAATCTGAGGGATTAAATAATACTAAGGATAAAGGTCCTGCTATCATTTCCTGTACTTTGTAAACAATGTAAACAAATCCAACATGCCTAAGTGGAAAAAAAGATTTTTTTTTTTTAGATTTAGTAACTTATAAGAGCAATAACTACAAGCAAGCTTTTCCCACAACTGTGATTAGTCTCTCATATAACTGCATAGAAATTCTGGTCTTTTCCTCCATGGTGAAGTGCTCAGTAACATTTCAGTCTTTTCTAGTATGATCCACCTTGTTTTAGGTCCTGTCACAACATTCTTTGGGCTTTAGATCTGAATGTTGTCGACCATTCCAAAAACCTGTATTGACCTTATTCTCTTAGAGATGTGTATGTATGGGTTGAGACCTTTGTCTTGCTATTATGATCCATTTTTCCTTTGGTTTCAGGTCAAGTGGACTGATATTTCCTGTACAATTCGCTGATACAAAGCAGAATTCATGCTTCTTTCAATGATTTCAGGTCATTCAAACCCTGAGGCAGCAACGCACCCTCAAGGCATGACATG